TTCTTTCCATACACTGTTTTTTCATCTAAGCAATCCTGGTATATATTTTCTTGGTTTGAGTCTCCTCTTTTTAAAGTATCCAAAAAAGTCCAGATTGTTGGCTTTAGACATTGCAGTGAGTTACAAAAATCTTTATGCCACTCCTCTATAGCTGTATTTAATTCAAGAATGCCCTCATCTATCTTTGAAAGAATACTCCAATAAGCATGCTTAAAATATCCTCCACTTCCATCTTCTTGTTGGATGAACTTTTCTTCAAAAAAATTAAATACTGAAGCTAAACCCAATCCAACAGACAAAGATGCTTCTCTGTATAGAGGCAGCTGTTGAATCTCATGAAATGCAGATGGGATTTCCCTTGGTGCTAAGAATGACATGGCAGGGAGCATACAAACTAGAGTTCTGAAGGTCTCATTCTTAGCAAAAAGGGGTCCATCTCCCATTTCATGACATACTCTGTACACCTGTTGCCCCAAGTTGAAAAAAGAACCAAAAATTTCTACTTGTGGGAAGACATTTTTGATTCCTTCAAAAGCATGAAAATTGTACTCACAAACTATTTTAGTAGGTGTAACAGTAATGTCACAATTACTTTTAATTATTGTAAAAAGTTCAAGAAAGGTTTCAGTATCTTTACCTTTACATAAGGCATACATGCTAGGAATTACTGTATTGTTAACTACAACATGGATTGTGCAAAGCAAGCCAACATAATCTGGAATTTGTTCTTCAAAGTATGCATCAAGAAACCAAGTTGAATGGGTTTCTAACCTGTTCAACCCTCTCCTTGAGCCAAAAATTATAATTCTATCAGCAATTTGATTGTTATCCTTAGAATCGTAAACAAGAAAATTTGTACTTCCTCTTACTCCTTTAAATTCTTGAGGAATCACTAAATCATTCAAATTGTCTATCACTTCCACTGGAGTCTTGCTTCTTTGACGTCCTGCCTTGATGGATTTTTGCAAGGATCTTGCATCCCCAATCCTTTCTTTAAGTCGCTCTAGACGTGAAGATCCTGCCAAGAGGTCTTCTGCTATCTTGTCAGCAGATTCGCCAGAATTTTGGAGGGCCCTCTTCATTGTCTTTAACCGCGCTACATCACTGTCCAGCTCATCAGCTGTATGACTTGAGTGAGGCCTTGTGACTGTTACAATGCTTTCACCTGTAAAAGTTAGTCATACCTTTATTAGCAAGACTAAAATAATAAAATGAAGATATGCATGTACCTTCTCGTGCTGAGAAGTCTGTTGGCGTACATACTCTTCCTTTGCATGAAGGTCGTTCACATTTCCAAGTCACGTGGTCCTTCCTCCTCTTATCATGGTTGTAGACAAACCCTCTGAAACCAATCTTGAAGTTTCCCTTTTGGGACTTGAACAACTCCATTTTTTCTGAAAATGTAAAAAGCAATAATTTATTACATAAGAATATATGTGATGTAAAGACATACAGTATAAAAAATAAAAAGTATACAAGGTTATACAGTGTAGGTGTACCAGGAAATAGAGGACCTACTGCCAAAAGGCTTATCAATACATTCTGAAACCTCTCTGGACATATAGTATAATGAAAATATTTGCATGTAGATTGTCATTACTGTCATAATGGCTGGGGTAAATTTACAGAAACACCAAAATGACTCACCAATGTCAATTGCCTTTTCCAGATGAAGATGTAGTGCTGACGCTGCTCGTTATTCAAATCAGGAAGTAGCACTCAAGTTCTAATGATTGACAAGACTTTCTATTACCACAGGCAATTGAACTTCCTCTTTCCAGGTGTTCTTCTTGTACTTCTTCCTGAGTAAATGTAGAATAAACACATATACAGTACATGCACTCATTATAAATACAATACCACATATTGGGAAACATGAAAAATACATCATATGGAGGGTTAATGAGGTACACCCAGCAAGGAGAAGTCAATGTGAGAGCAAGGTGCACAGACACTTCTTAATTACATTGGTATTGCATTTGTTAGCTCTCTCAGAATTTTTTTTCACAAAATATTTCAATGGAATTTAGCACAGCAGTACTGCAATGTGTACTTCCCATTGTACATTTTTACAAAACTGATGGTCAAATCCTCCAGAAAGTTTAAATCACACAATGATACAAATCACTCATTTCAGAAGAGAGAACATTTCATATGCCTCATGCTTGTTCTACTCAGTCAAGTGACTAAGCTGCTGCTTCCTGCAAGTCACCTAGGTGGCGCCACTGCTGCTGCCACCAACTGCCAGTTACAGTACTTCCACGCAGAAGTGGGTACAGTAAAATTCTACAGCAGTCGAATATGCTCTGTACGGAACCGTTGGGAACCGGGGTGCGCACAAGGGAAATTCGTGAAGTTTTTACGTTGAATAATTTTTGGTCTTCCATGTGTGGGATGGATGTGCATGTTTGCATGCTGCATGTTTATGGTGGGGCATTTATGGCAGTTTTTCTGAAGCATCTCACCATCATTCACAGGTGTATTTTCAAGCAAAATTATTCAACAATACAACGAAGATTTGTTTTTACACCATACGTAAAAAGAAAAAATTATTAAAATGATCACTGATTCCTGGATTGAGAATAACATTTCGCCCTTCTTTTTCCATCATGTACAACTATTTCATTTGCGATTATTGCTTCAAAGCATACCCATTAAGCTGGTGGAGACTTGGCGCCACGCATTTCCTCTCGCTTTTTATAGGCAACATGCACAAGGGATTTCATGTGAACATTTTGAACCTCAGACACAAATGCAACAAGGGCGTACATGCAGGAGTTTTTTTTTCCTCATCCCTGGATTTCAGGTTATTCGCGAACGACATCTACCGCATGAAACTGTAAGCAACACTGGATGCCGACTAGCCTGGCTCCCCAAAGATGCCTGTCATCATTGAGTGAACGGTTGGCGTGGTGAAACTCTCTGAATAGAGCAGGTTTTTTGTTTTAGAAGGTCTGATGTGAACCTTTTAACCGGATTGTCTGAGTCTCTTGTTAATTCTCTATTTTCACAAGTAAGTTGTACGTGGGACTTCAACCTTCTCAGTTAGGGAGTGTGTGTAAACTCATTACATTGAAACGCCATGGCAGTGTGATTCGAATTCTGCTTGATTACATTTACCTGGTCAGAATTTTCTTGGGTGTGACGGTTCTTGATATCTTAGATATTGCGACTTCGAATCGTGTGAAACATCCGATTTTTGCACTGCAGGTACTTGTGTGATCAGTGTTGCCGTTCGTTCGAATAATTCGANCAGTTTTTCTGAAGCATCTCACCATCATTCACAGGTGTATTTTCAAGCAAAATTATTCAACAATACAACAAAGATTTGTTTTTACACCATACGTAAAAAGAAAAAATTATTAAAATGATCACTGATTGGATGATCACAATAGGAATAATTTACACCAAACGATTGCTGACAATCACATGAGACACATGCAGATGCAGCTGTATATACTAAACTCCTATTAATCTTTCTTCAACAAGGAATTGGAAAAGACCTCCTTGACTTTTTCTGAGATGTACAGTACTGTAAATATTATCAAGGTCTTGAAATGAGGAAAATAATTCCTGTCCTGACATTTACTGTACAGGTGTACTTCTAACTTTTTTGTTTTACACTTTAACTTCAAAGAGCCAAAACATTATGCTCACCAATATGCGTGGAAAAGTGTGACCAGCAAAATAACTGAAATTTTTGTTATATCTAGCAAACAGAGTTGCTGGAAGACAAGGATTCATAGATAAATAAGATAGCATTGTACTGTCCATCAACTGAGAGACCATTACTCATTTGTAATAATATAAGATGTTATGTATGCTGTGCGAAATTGGGTGAATGAGGTGACAATTTTGTGACCAAGTTTATGTAGAGAATTGATCTGGAAAACAGCTACTTTTGAGAAGGTCCCACTTTGAACCCCCATCCCAGTTTTGTCTTTTCTGCGTTCAATTGGCTGCAGGAACAGCAGTTGAATGTAAATATTTGCTGACCCCTTACCAGCAGCTTCCTGGATTGAGAATAACATTTCGCCCTTCTTTTTCCATCATGTACAACTATTTCATTTGCGATTATTGCTTCAAAGCATACCCATTAAGCTGGTGGAGACTTGGCGCCACGCATTTCCTCTCGCTTTTTATAGGCAACATGCACAAGGGATTTCATGTGAACATTTTGAACCTCAGACACAAATGCAACAAGGGCGTACATGCAGGAGTTTTTTTTTCCTCATCCCTGGATTTCAGGTTATTCGCGAACGACATCTACCGCATGAAACTGTAAGCAACACTGGATGCCGACTAGCCTGGCTCCCCAAAGATGCCTGTCATCATTGAGTGAACGGTTGGCGTGGTGAAACTCTCTGAATAGAGCAGGTTTTTTGTTTTAGAAGGTCTGATGTGAACCTTTTAACCGGATTGTCTGAGTCTCTTGTTAATTCTCTATTTTCACAAGTAAGTTGTACGTGGGACTTCAACCTTCTCAGTTAGGGAGTGTGTGTAAACTCATTACATTGAAACGCCATGGCAGTGTGATTCGAATTCTGCTTGATTACATTTACCTGGTCAGAATTTTCTTGGGTGTGACGGTTCTTGATATCTTAGATATTGCGACTTCGAATCGTGTGAAACATCCGATTTTTGCACTGCAGGTACTTGTGTGATCAGTGTTGCCGTTCGTTCGAATAATTCGAGGTAACGGCGGAATCGGAAATCCGCTTATGCAAGACTTCCATTGTCTTGAGTCCAAAGTCGGAATTCCTTTGCTCTCAGTTGGAAATAGTTTTCATGCATTTGTGTAGCACTTTCTGCCTGTGGAATTCTCGATTCCGTTAGCGGTTCTTTTGAAAGCATCGCGGTTTAAAAACGAACTTCTCTAATTTTCTTGTGTTAATATTATGACTACTTTTTGTGTTTCAGGGACTATTCTTGAACTATCCGAAGATTTGCTGGTGAAATCGTAGCAATCCACATTACTGCAGCGGCGCTGCAGTAATGTCATGGCTTGTCTCCACTTTCTCAAACAAGAGATTCGAACGCTTGAAGCCCTATTCCCACAATCTCACGATCGCTTCCAGGTTATTGCCGCTAGGATGAAGTGACCTGTTGTTTCATCTCAAAATGCGGAAAACGTTATGAACTTCATGCGAATATATTGGTACGTTGCCAATATTGTGTAAAGCTTGGAAATTGAATTAAACGCGTTCGTTTGTTGATTTGTAGGAAACTTACCCGTCATCCCCTCCTGTATGGTACATCGAAACGGATGATGCTGCCATTTCCAGCATCGTCGAAAAACTCAGCAACACGATTGGCAAAGATAATCACGTAATATAATATTTATTGTCTTTTTCTCAGTTGTATTATGTTGACATCTTTTTAGCTGTAATGATAAACTCGTGAGACGTGTTCCATTCGTTGATGGTAATCTTATTTTATTTCAGTTATTGAACCATATTAATATTAACACATGTGAGCATTTTCGTCAAAGACTTGTGCGAATTTTACAACATTGAACTGATCAAAGTCGATCATTCCATGGCCAGTACATTAGCTGGCTTTTTCGACTTTTCTGGAGCGGCCGAATCGACAAGTTTGACGTTGTTCTCATCTGCCTCATCGGCTTCCAGTGGTAGCCAAGCAAACGGCGGACCGACTGATGGTCCGAAGCGCCGTGCGATGGCACGAAGTGGTTCGAGTGCCACTGATGGAGGAGCGGAAGACGACGACGAAGGGATGGAAAACGACGACGTTGATGCGGATGATGACGAGGATGCTGAAGATGATGATGGCGATCGAGAGGAATTCAAGGATGATGATTTCCGTATTGAAATGGAGGATCCAAGTGTCAGTAATTATTCGAAGGTAATTATTCACTCTTTTAACTGTGCCGATCCATGTAGGCTTCACACCATGCATTTTCTGAGCGTCTTGTTCGATCTGCTAATGTTCAACTTCGTGATCATCCAAATTTATTTGTGCGAACGAAGTGTTCCTGCGCTTCATAATAAGGGAGTTCGGTGGTAAAAGTTAATTGCTGGTTTTCCAGGAGTGTTGTTTGTTGAGTTTCATTATCGCCACATTTTAAAATATATCCATTCTTCGTAAACATCGATTTCTTTACCCCAGCGAATTTTTTTTTTCATTTCTACGGAAGTAATTGAACGTTTTTTGTTTTGTTTTTTTCCCCAAGATGAGGGTATTGAAACTGAGCACCTGATGACGCTAGAGCGATTGAAGGCTACGCAGCAAAATGAGCTGAGCAAAGGAACCCCGAATCATTCAGTCAAGGCTTCAGATCGCCTCATGAAGGAACTCAGGGACATATACCGTTCCCAAAGCTTCAAAAAAGGTATGAAAAGTTGAAGGAAATTTTATTGGTGAGCGGTATGAAACCACTTTTTCATTGTAGGTGTTTACAAAGTTGAACTACTGAACGACAATTTGTACTAATGGCAAGTTTGTCTGAGGCATGTAGACCCGGATTCGCAATTATCTCAAGATTTGGTGATCCTGAAGGAAAAAGAGGGAATTGACCACATCCTCTTCGTTTCACTTTCAGGTGAGTTTGTGTCCTTCTCCAAAGTTCCACGAAGAGCTGCATGGCTTTTTGTGAGGAATCGCGATTCACTCGGTGGCTTACTGTACTTTTTTCTCTCCGTCGAAAAGCTCCATGAGATTGTATACTGATGTACAATTGCATTGCTGAAGATTATAATGCATATTTCATGCATTGGACGTCGAAAAATGTGGTCGCGAGTAGCATTTGATTCCATTTTTATCCTTTAGGACTCTTACCCGTTTGATCCTCAGTTTGTCCGGGTTGTGCATCCAATAATCGGAGGTGGGTACGTGGCAAGGTACTTATTGTTGGTGCCATTTGCATGGAGCTGCTCACCAAACAGGGCTGGAGCTCAGCATACACGGTGGAAGCGATCATAATGCAAATAGCAGCTACCCTCGTCAAGGGAAAGGCACAAATCAAGGTCGGAGGATCTTCACAAGTTAGTTTTTCTTATTTTAATGCTAGTTGACAACTCCCTATTTTTACTCATATGAAATCGCATGGTTTTTTATATACTGTATAGTACTGTATAAGTAGCTCACTTAAGTCAGTTTGTAAACCATTGAATGATCAACAAGATTATTTTGAGTGTATGGAATAATAGCAATCGTATTTTTAAAACAAACAGAAACCTGTGACTGATATGAAGAATGAATTTCCCTTGAGTTTATTGAGTTTATCAGTCCTACTCTCCTACACAAAAATGAAGTCAATCAATGAGTGGGGGGAACTTGCTGGCTCTGAAAGAGAAGAGTTTGAGGGTTACTGAGTTCGTACCGTGAAGGTTTTGATATAATGTTATGAATTATTGCCGGTGCTTTCTATTTCCGTACAGGTCTCAGGATACCTGTGCCTTTTTCAGACTGAAATGTGAGAAGGAATTTTTAACCATTGAGTATGAGCTTCAGAGTGCATGTGGAGGCGGGTGTGGCAGGCAGTGAGCATGGTGATCAAATTGCCCCAGTGTCCGACGCCAAAATACTTGCTGTAACAAACGTTTTTGGTGTATCCGAGATGTCTGTGGCATTATTTGCGTTCTCATGACTTGGGGACTACTGTTGTATGCGGGGTTCGTGGTTGTCGTGGTAAGTTTTCTCGATTACAACTGCCTTTTCAATGCTGTGTATTCCTACATACTTGTCCTCAGGTTATTCTGCCTTGGAAGGGAAGTGGTTTCCCACCGTTGTACAATTTCATCAATTTGGTTGTGTTTAATTGCCTCGCTTTTCTTGCCGCCGCGTCCCACGCAAGAGCAATGCTCACAGATCCAGGAGCAGTTCCGAAAGGTAGCGCCACCCGTGAAATGATGCAGAAAATGGGTTTTGAGGAAGGCGATGTCGTTTTCAAGTGTCCCAAGTGTTGCTCTATCAAGCCGGAACAAGCTCATCATTGTTCATCATATGTCAGAGATGCATTAAAAAGATGGATCATCATTGCCCGTGGGTGAATAACTGTGTCAGTGAAAAGAATCAGAAATATTTCGTTCTGTTCACGTTTTACATTGCTGTGATATCTGTTCACGCCCTGTTCCTTCGTGTGAATCATTTTATCTAATGCGTGAACGAAGAGTGGCGGGGGGCGGTTTTCAGTGAATACTCCTCTCCAGCATTGGTGATCTTCATGCTCTTTTTGCTTATTGAAGGCCTATCATTTGCAATTTTCACTGCGATTATGTTTGGTTCGCAAATCAGCGCAATATGGAATGATGAAACGGGAATCAAAGCATTAAAAAAAGAGTATGGAGTTGGACTCGTCAGGCAAAGTGGAAGAGTGTTCAGGCTGTATTCAGTGAGAAGTTCGGGCTTTCTTGGTTCTCCCCCTTCTCATCTGTTGAATAAGTTTTCAGAAAATCGCGGTACTACTCAGTTTGATGGACGATTGTTCAGGATTGGTAGCTGTGCTTTTAGTTTTTTTCAATCGCGCTTTGTAACCGAACTAACGCTAAAGCATTTAGGTGTGCAAAATACTTGTTGTAACAAACGTTTTTGGTGTATCCGAGATGTCTGTGGCATTATTTGAGTTCTCATGACTTGGGGACTACTGTTGTATGCGGGGTTCGTGGTTGTCGTGGTAAGTTTTCTCGATTACGACTGCCTTTTCAATGCTGTGTATTCCTATATACTTGTCCTCAGGTTATTCTGCCTTGGGAGGGAAGTGGTTTCCCACCGTTGTACAATTTCATAAATTTGGTTGTGTTTAATTGCCTCGCTTTTCTTGCCGGCGCGTCCCACGCAAGAGCAATGCTCACAGATCCAGGAGCAGTTCCGAAAGGTAACGCCACCCGTGAAATGATGCAGAAAATGGGTTTCGAGGAAGGCGATGTCGTTTTCAAATGTCCCAAGTGTTGCTCTATCAAGCCGGAACGAGCTCTAGTAACAAGTAGTATACAGTCTCTACGTAATTTTTCTACCTAGTAGTAACGGGCACCCACTTATTGACACAGCCACTTTTCTTAGTCTTTATAAAGCAAGACAAGTGCAAAATGTAACGACACTATCCTGTTCACGCCCTGTTCCTTTGTGTGAATCATTTTATCTATTGCGTGAACGAAGAGTGGCGGGGGGCGGTTTTCAGTGAATACTCCTCTCCAGCATTGGTGATCTTCATGCTGTTTTTGCTTATTGAAGGCCTATTATTCGCGATTTTCACTGCGATGATGTTTGGTTCGCAAATCAGCGCAGTATGGAATGATGAAACGGGAATCGAAGCATTAAAAAAAGAGTATGGGAGTTGGACTCGTCAGGCGAAGTGGAAGAGTGTTCAGGCTGTATTCGGTGAGAAGTTCGGGCTTTCTTGGTTCTCCCCCTTCTCATCTGTTCAATAAGTTTTCAGAAAATCGCGGTACTACTCAGTTTGATGGACGATTGTTCAGGATTGGTAGCTGTGCTTTTAGTTTTTTTTTTCAATCGGGCTTTGTAACCGAACTAACGCTAACGCATTTAGGTGTGCCACTCCAATTCGTGGAAAGCAATCTTGTATCCCCGGTTGAATATCCGTTGGTTGACGAAATTTTTGATTTCTGACTTGGTTGTTATCCTGCTCTGGAAATTGTTGACCCTGACTCTGTGGTGTGAGGATGTTAGTGTAGGGAACGTCCCGCAAATTTTACCTGGATATCGTGTATGTATCAATCTCGAACCATTGGGTTTGCGCACGTAATTTTGTCCAGCGCACCTTTGAAAAATTGAATGATGAAAAATGTGATGTTTCTTAGACTGATGCAGTACCAAGGAAGTCATAGAACATTATTGTAAGCGTGAAATACGTAAATATGTTGTTTCAGGGCCATTTCCGCGGCCGTTTTCTGCACGCCACAGTAGTCCACGAACACCCCAGCAGCCACTTGCCCAAACCTGACCTGTGCTCACTGCGTCTGTACACAGACTATCACAGGTTGAGAGACTAACTGGCTGGTCGCCCTGACCCGTGACGAGTAGGTCACGGAAGTCATGCTGGTGTTGCACAGTATTCTGGATTGACGTAAGTCTCAGTAAAACCGTGCTTGCGCTGTACTGTTCTGTATTGTATTTTTATGCCGATGAAATTCTATGTTCTGCTAGCTGTCTGCGGACTGGTGTATGAATGTGCCTGCCAAGATCCCCTTGGTCAAGTTGACCAACGTGCGCACTGGTATCAACTGCAACAACACAGTGGGCCTGCTCTACACTCGACTCTTGCGCGCCTACGCGGACCTGGACTGGGAACTGTGTTGCTGTCAATCTAGACCCTGCTGAGTGCTCCGAATCCAGACGATCGATCCTTTGCGAAAATGACATGGCGGAATTGTGGAAAGTGAACAAGGCTGAGGCTTTGCACAATGCTCGGGAATGGACACGTTTGTTCGCTGGCGGTAAAGAATCCTCGTTGCTACCTTCGCCTCCGGTGATATCCTTCTCTTATCTTGTTTTAAGTGTGCGTGTGATGCAGCATCTGACTTTGTTGAGCGTATCTCGCTCCTCTTTCTCTTTCTATACTTTGTAAAAAACTGAACGTACAGGATGCGTTACTGTGCGGCGTTGCTCTTGACGTCGCACAGCAATGCTGGAGTATGTTCTGATGCCTTACTGTGCGACGTGGTAGAGTAAGGTTGTACTGGAGGCGTTACTGTGCGGCGTTGCTCTTGACGTCGCACAGCAATGCTGGAGTACGTTCTGATGCCCTACTGTGACATGTTACTTCCAATGTGGTGGAGTTACATATGTACAGGATGCCTAGGTGTGTGACGTTACTCCTGCCACATGATGCATTGCTGTGCAACTTGAGCATGGATGGAACAGAGATGCAGTAAAGATATCAACCGGAATGCAACATTTGGGAAAAGAGGAAAGTCTTGGAACTCTTTCCGATTGATGCAGTTCCGATTTCTTCTGCAGTTCTAATCTCAGCAAATCTGACTCTCTCATGGACTCGTGCAGTTCTGACACTGGAACAGCAGTTGAAAGTTGAGGAGTTTCCTGAAGAAAGGCTGTGGGAAGAAAGTGATGGATTGCCGCATTCATGTCACTGATGGCTAAATACAACACTGTGTATCATTGCTGCCTGAAAGGGAATGCATTGTATTTTTTAATGACAAAGCCTTTCATTCAGGGATGAGGTACACTATATATAATATAGTCTATGTATCTCTATATATAAAGTTTCTGACCGTCCCTTCTTTGAACAAAACAAATTAAAAAATTGCAGAATTCCATCNGCCTTGGAAGGGAAGTGGTTTCCCACCGTTGTACAATTTCATCAATTTGGTTGTGTTTAATTGCCTCGCTTTTCTTGCCGCCGCGTCCCACGCAAGAGCAATGCTCACAGATCCAGGAGCAGTTCCGAAAGGTAGCGCCACCCGTGAAATGATGCAGAAAATGGGTTTTGAGGAAGGCGATGTCGTTTTCAAGTGTCCCAAGTGTTGCTCTATCAAGCCGGAACAAGCTCATCATTGTTCATCATATGTCAGAGATGCATTAAAAAGATGGATCATCATTGCCCGTGGGTGAATAACTGTGTCAGTGAAAAGAATCAGAAATATTTCGTTCTGTTCACGTTTTACATTGCTGTGATATCTGTTCACGCCCTGTTCCTTCGTGTGAATCATTTTATCTAATGCGTGAACGAAGAGTGGCGGGGGGCGGTTTTCAGTGAATACTCCTCTCCAGCATTGGTGATCTTCATGCTCTTTTTGCTTATTGAAGGCCTATCATTTGCAATTTTCACTGCGATTATGTTTGGTTCGCAAATCAGCGCAATATGGAATGATGAAACGGGAATCAAAGCATTAAAAAAAGAGTATGGAGTTGGACTCGTCAGGCAAAGTGGAAGAGTGTTCAGGCTGTATTCAGTGAGAAGTTCGGGCTTTCTTGGTTCTCCCCCTTCTCATCTGTTGAATAAGTTTTCAGAAAATCGCGGTACTACTCAGTTTGATGGACGATTGTTCAGGATTGGTAGCTGTGCTTTTAGTTTTTTTCAATCGCGCTTTGTAACCGAACTAACGCTAAAGCATTTAGGTGTGCCACTCCAATTCGTCAAAAGCAATCTCGTATCCCCGGTTGAATATCCGTTGGTTGACGAAATTTGTGATTTCTGACTTGGTTGTTATCCTGCTCTGGAAATTGTTGACCCTGACTCTGTGGTGTGAGGATGTTAGTGTAGGGAACGTCCCGCAAATTTTACCAGGATATCGTGTATGTATCGATCTCGAACCATTGGGTTTGCGCACGTAATTTTGTCCAGCGCACCTTTGAAAAATTTAACGATGAAAAATGTGATGTTTCTCAGACTGATGCAGTAATAAGGAAGTCATAGAACATTATTGTAAGCGTGAAATACGTAAATATGTTGTTTCAGGGCCATTTCCGCGGCCGTTTTCTGCACGGGTGTCATCAGGTGCTTGTGGGGTTGTTGGTGAACGGGTTTGGACTGGACACGAGTGACGCAGACATGTGTCTGATAGTGTCCAACTCTCTGATTGACCAACCAGCGGGACTGGGCACTGCTCATCCTCAAGGAAGTCATGCTGGTGTTGCACAGTATTCTGGATTAACGTAAGTCTCAGTAAAACCGTGCTTGCGCTGTACTGATCTGTATTGTCTAATCTCAGCAAATCTGACTCTCTCATGGACTCGTGCAGTTCTGACACTGGAGCAGCAGTTGAAAGTTGAGGAGTTTCCTGAAGAAAGGCTGTGGGAAGAAAGTGATGGATTGCCGCATTCATGTCACTGATGGCTAAATACAACACTGTGTATCATTGCTGCCTGAAAGGGAATGCATTGTATTTTTTAATGACAAAGCCTTTCATTCAGGGATGAGGTACACTATATATAATATAGTCTATGTATCTCTATATTTAAAGTTTCTGACCGTCCCTTCTTTGAACAAAACAAATTAAAAAATTGCAGAATTCCATCCTGCACCCAATGTCTATTTCAAAATTGAATTGCTCCCATACATGGAAAGTTAGGAGTTATAAGCTTAAAACTTGGAAATTTTTTCATTTCCCAACCTTCTCAATTCGAAATATTCACCACAAAATTTCTGTTCAGGCATCAATCCATTGATGAGGTTCATTGTATGTTTACATGAATATGGTGTTCATGCTGAATCCATAGAAGGAAGATCTGCTGTGGGTTTTTTCCTCAGTTGATCACTTGTGAGGTTGTCCTCTCTGTGTTATTCTCAGGCTTTTATTATGGTGTTGTTAACTTGTACACTGAAAAATGTATTCAATTCCATTGAAAGGAGATTTTTCCATATCAGAGGTTTCCCATTACAGTTATGTGAAAATGTGGGGAGAATTTGTTGTGCGGATGAGTTTATGAATAAATTTATTGTAAAATATTCCATGTTCCTTCTCTGTAATGCCTTCTTTATACACACTAGGTAACTGTTTTGTGATGTTATTTCATGCTCTGGCTTGTTAGCATTTATTCTAGCATTTTTAACAAGTTAGCAACATCTCCTGCGTGTAATTCAATCTGTGCCAGTGCTTGTCTGAAAAGATTTGTATGAACCTGATGCTGGATTTTCTACCGCATCAGCAAAGGTATTTCATTAAATAGTTGAATTGTGTGCTCCAGATATAAATAATACATCATCTGTCAAAGTAGACGTTCATGATGGCTTCAAAATTGCAGAATTTTTTAAAGCTTACTTCCTTTTGTGTAAAATTCATCACGGAAAAATCTTCTCCTGTACCTGGGACACAATACAGCCTTTTTCTGGTGTAAGATATCAATTACCGTATACTTTTACTGTATTGCCATATTGAAAATTGTCTGGATATGTTCATCTGACATTAGGAATCTTTATCATATTCCTTACTCTTCTCAGTTCCTTGGTTTTTACTGATCCATCAAAATCATCGTGATGGTGCTTGCACATCACATTGAACAATTTCATTAAGAATGTGGATGTACTCTCCTCATCTGCAACAAGTTTATTACTTCAGTCTCATACTGTGTATGGTTTCTTCTGTTCGTTTTGCATGTTACACAGGGATTCTCTATATACGGCTTGTCAACCTTTTTGAAGGGCGTACCCACTTTAAACCTCTAGAACAGAGGTTATTGCTGGGTACCCCCAGCAATAACTTAAAATGTGTGTTTAAATTCTATTATTAACCGTATTTCATGGAATTTCCTTCAAGCTTCCTTATTACATCAAAACCAAATTTATCCCCATAAAATCTCTCTTGTATTTCACCGTCATTGATGAAAAGGATTCATCAGGCAAGCAATGAATGTCAAATATGGAAATTTAATGACTGCTCAAATTTTGTACCAAGGAATGCTGTATTTTCTTCAAAAAATGCTACTTCCATGAATTACACAAACAAATTAGTTCTCAGAAGATTATTTTTTGGCCAGGGTTGCTTTTTTAGGCACCTTTGAGAAATTTATTCATACTACAGTATTTGCCTGCAACATGTTCGACATAGAAATTATAAATGCATTTAAATTCAGCAGCAGGTTCATTTCAGCATCATTCAAGAGTCCGTTGAAAAAAATTGAATAGGAATTTTTTTTTTTTCTTGGGACGGGACAGTGGTTGGCGTAACCCCTGGCAAGCACTCGAGTGCCACTGGGGGTACGCGTTCCATCATATTTGAAGCCCTCTACATGGCAAAAATCCTCCAGCAGATTATTTCCTCATTATTTTCATTAACAGAGAGTCGATCTTCTGTAATATCTTTGTTTGATCCCTTGCATGTATAATTAGGCCAAAATTTAAATAGACGAATAATTTCATCATTGTTTTACAGATTTCTGGGGCTTCTATAGAAACCCCTTGATGTTGACGTACTGCTGCTACCCGAGGACCTGTGATGTGATTGATTTTCAGCATAATTGCCGCTGAATACACTTCTAGTGGAAGGGAGCGCTACGGATGACATGCATTCACCCCTGAATTGCCTTGTCAAAAATGACCATTCTTCACCCTTCTTCACTCATGCATGGAAAAAATAGACCTAAAAATGCCCTGTGGTCATGAAAATACCGACGAATATACTCGCAGTAATAATACAATGTTCTGCTGGTTCCTCAAAATGTCTGATGTCCCTTACATAAAACTGCACCATTGCCTTGAATAAGGAAGGCAGGCCCGTCCACGATCTATGTGATCTATGTTGTAATATCGCAGCAGGGTTATTGTGCCCTATTTTATCCATTAATGAGGCACATCATAGCCTCTATATTTACCATGGAAATATCCTGCATATCGGGTGGACCATATAATTCCTTTGAAGGAATAAGCAGCAGCAGCGTAAATCCCATGTTCCTTGATGAATGTATCATGTCATTCATGTGTTGTGTGAAGATGGACACATTTAATCTTTGCAGATGCATCATACACCCATTGTGCAGCAATTGATATTGTGGGACACCTAGTTTTCATTTTTTTTAAATGAATGAACTTGTCCCAAGCTGCGCTATCTGACACATGTACTGCACAAAATTTGTATAAAAACCCCCATGAGTATGATCTTGAATGATGTAAAGTAACAAGCTGGAAAATTGCCTTGCGGAGCACCTGTTTTGTGAAGGATTGCTGGAGTTGGGTTCATTTTCATCATATGTCATCCGTATGCTGTGCAGGATCTGTATATATAGTTGAGCTTATGTGCTGGGGGAGTTGCTGATGGGGTAATTATTCTGTGGAGTAATTTGCTGTTTTGAACTTGAGCTGTTGGCTACAGGTAAGTGAAAAACAATGGATGTATTTTGACAATTTTTTCTGAATTATTCCAGAGAAGAAAGGGTGAGAAAATGAGCGTGAAGGATATGCATTTTCCTTTCAAAATGTGTCCAACGTACGACATGTCCTTGAAGGACTATCGCAATTTCGACCAGTTCATCAAAAAAATTTATTTTGAAAGAGGAGCATGGACCAATGGTATGGTGAAGCTCCGATGCATCCCTGACCTTATCGTGGCCCTTGACTCAAAAGGAAAAGGACCGGTATAGTAACCGCCACCATCGGCCATACTGTCCCGCGTGACAGGAAGCCATAGCGTATTAGATCATTTTGTACCTTTGTTTTGTATTGCCCAATCAGGGCTCACTCGACGCGCGCTGCGCGCAACCATTGACTAAGAGGTCCCGCGCAGCCTCATTCCATCATTGACCTCCGTTCGGATAAGACCATTGTGTATATAGTGAATCCGCTACCCTGACTGAATTACAACTGTGTTTGAAATGTCTAAGTAGTGTGCTTCCTTTCCTGCAGGATTATAAGATCTCTGTGGTGACTAGATAGTGAGTCAACTAAAGTCTTACTGGGGGCTCAGCCAAACGTGATTGCACTATGGCCAATGAGCGGAACAAAACCATCCCCGAAAGGGAATCTCCTGCAGGTACTTCGGGATCCCCCCAGGCGCCCGCCCCGTCGCTGAATCCAGCAGCAAATTCTTGGAATAATGTGATGTTAACCGTGATTCGCGCGTACTGTGCAACCCATTGCATCCCCTGATCCGTGCAGGACAACCGATGCTTTTTACGCCAATGCGTACCAGACTACCCAAAGCAATCTGTGAATGAAGACATCAAAGTGTATTTTCGGGGGCTCGCAATCGCGTTCTGTCATGACAACACATCAAATTTCACAAAAATCGACTGCCTGATCAGGCACTCACAACCGAAAGTCGCGGAAGCAGCGCAAGTACTCTATGAACAGGGGTACGTCAAATACAATGCGATCAGGGAGCGCCTGAAAACAAGGTTTGGCTTGTCCCCCTACGAGCACTTCCAACGCTTTTTGGCCATTTGGCCAACAACTGAGGAGACCTGGACGCAATTCGGCGATTGCCTGCAAGCGGAATACATCCCGTACCTGCTGTTCACGGCAGAAGAACTCCCAAACCAGGAACAAGCCATCACAGCAGGCCTCATTGGGCAGCTCCTCGCAATCACAACTTTGGGACTGCACTCACAGCTACACGCAAGGGCGACCGCTGACCGCAATCTATCCTGGGATGAATGTCTAGCGCTCACAGACAAGTACCAACAGACCCACCCAGCATACCTGAATCCGGCGACACTGACCCCGAATAGTGCAGCAAGGCCTCCAAAAACAACGGCAAACGGCATTGTAAAGCATTACTGTGATCACCACCAGTGCTACGTCTTCCATACAATGGCCAAGTGCTCCCGGACGGGAACAGGGACAAGGAGCGCGACACCGGGGAAGGCCTCTCCGAACCGAACCTTACAACAGTGCAGCTACCACCCAGGACAAATGGTGGCCCACTCAACTGCTGAGTGTCGCAACAATCCGGCTAACCAGGTGACCTCAGCGCAGGGCCCTCAAATGGTGCAGCCGAATAAATGTGTACAATGTGGTCTTACAGGCCACACAGTGGCGGCATGCCCAAAGCAGGGAAACAAGAAGATCGGGCAGTGATGGCTGTCCTCTGCTCGATCCCGACATCCGAAGACGACAGCCTCACAATGATCATCAGCATCAAAGGACATCACGTCACTGCCCTCATTGATACGGGGGCCACCAAATCTTTCATGGCAACGGACGTTGCCGAAGAAGTGGGA